GCGTTATTTCCAATGTTTGCGTCCTGGAGCTTTCGAATAATACAATTCTGCCTCGTTTTCAACATTGTTGTTGCACTTCGCCCATTCTATACCAAACGAGACAACATGGAAGATATACCTCTGACGCCTGCTCAACGAAAACTTCTTGGGTTGAAACCTAGTTCAAGACCACCTACTCCAGGCTCGGAGTATGTTACTCCACCGAGATATAGGAGGACGTCAACACCTCTGAGCAGCTCGCCTGCGAATCGAAGAGGGAGCCCAGCTTCTGGAAGTCCTTCTGGAAAACGATCTGAAAGTCCACACACTCAAGACGGTCTGGAAAGCCTGATTAATCCACTGGGGGCAGTCTATTCGCCAGGTGCAAGTCCCTTGTTACAGAAGACTCTCATGAGTGGAAGTGGTAACCGAAGGTCTTCATATGGCTCAAATCCTCTCGGTCGATCGATTGGGGATCCTGGTACACCAAGTCCATTAGGTGTTGCGAAACCGTCAAGTGTTGGGTTAAATAACAAATGGCTTTACGAGAAGGGAAGGAGAAATTCAGGCAATGCCCGATTGTATACATAGATTTTAGACTTGATGGATTGTGGATATAGATAGATACCCTTGTGGCCCGCGTTACTTTGACATGCACCTGCAGTATTGAAATGTTGTATTAAACACTGTCCTGATGATTGTTGGTTTGCCTCAAGACGCTATTTAATTGAGTATGTGATTCGGAAAATTTCATGTTTTGTTTCGTGGTTTCTGTGATATCTATAAATCTTCGCTAGCACGTGAAGATTGGCTCCAGTGAAGGCTATCTTATCGTCCAGTACAAAGAAGCTTCGTCAACAATCTAGAACATTTATTACATACATATCAAACAACGGCCACAACTCCAGCTCCAGATGCAAAACACAATTAAGGATGGGAGCTTCCGACTCGAAACTAGTATTTAAGAAGGGTATCTTCCGACTTTCAGAAGATAAGATCATTCCTGCCGATGACCCATACTGGGCTTCTGTGAGTTGATCGCACATCCTCAGCTGGAGTTATTACTGATTGAGCCTTGTATAGTTTTGGGAGTTGCCAGAATCCACAGAAGACATTTTCAGTCTCTTCTCCCCTGCAGATATTCGAAGAACTCGCGATACGGCGTTAGAGAACCTAGAGACTCTAATATTAGCAATAACCAGCCGACTTTTTGTTCTCCGCCATCACCCCTCATTCCCTCATCCAGAGTTTGCTCCGGAAAGAGATGCATTGAATTGCATTCGAATCCTTACACGCATTCTGCCATACGTTTACGAAGCCGAAAAACTACAATCATGGGAGGAGACATTCTTTTGGGGTGTGAGGAGGAAGCGGACACGGTACATAGTCGCAGAATGATGTTGGTTGATTCAGTCACTGACTGTATTGCAGCAAGGCAGCTCTCGCCCGAGACGTGATATTTGATGAATCTCAGGAAGAACTACAGAAACTCGAAGCTGCGGCGCAAGAATTTGAAGAGGTCAAGCCTTTGGCAGAAGAATTGATCGACACCTTGATCGATTTGTTGTTCTTTGCAGACTTTACCCTCCCCAAGCCGCAGAATAGTAAGAACAAAGTATCGTATGCCATCTGGCAAAGCGGAGTAGGATGCAATACACCAGTCGGCACTAGTAAAGAATTTGAGAACAACCGCACCGAGATATTAAGATTGCTCTTGACTTTAACCAGTCAGAGTATGTATATGTCGGCAAACTTACTTCCTGTGCAAGGAGTAAAAGCCATCACATATATTGCTACTTGTCCAGACAAGCAGGTTGTGTTATCTGTATTGTGCTCTCTACTGAACACGGTAAGGTCATACTATCCTCATTTATAACCAAATACTAACACGCATGAAGACTTTGAAATACAACCCAGCAAAATGGCAAGTGCCTTATAATGTACAAGTTTTCAAAGACCCAAAACAGATTCTAGTCACATATGCATTGCAGGTCAGTCAGTATATTATCCATTGATTTCAGAATCTGATGTTCGAACCTCGTAGTTTCTGCTTGCCATTCTCCTATATCCAATACCCGAATCCGGCCCTGCTCAAACCAAGAAAAGTAAGATATTGATATAGTTCTGCCTGTAGATTTCAATTGACATTGTTAGATTATTTCCGACACTTTCTTGGTCGTTTACATAGGCCACAAGATTTTCAATTCATTGTAGATGGTATGACAAGAATCTTGAACCAGCCTATGAATACTACGAGCTCCTATATTCCAGGAAATCAATCATACGCAAAATGTGCTTCGGAGATGATCATGTTATTCTGGGAAATCACCCAATGCAATAAACGATTCAGGTCGTTTTTGATTGATACTGATCGATCACACGATTTCGTTATTCTAATCATATTCTATTCTCTTGAATATAGACTAGATGCCTCCAAACAAGGAGTTGTACGGATGTGTATTTTCATCTTACAGACCTTAAGTGTGGAACCAAACTTTGGCAAGAATCTTAACAAGAGATTTGAGGCCCAGGATACTTTACCGCCCAGTATCAGACTTCAGTCATTCAATGGGACATATGCCGATTTCCTCATACAAGTAGGTTTTCTTTGGAAGCTAATACTGCAACACTGACGAAGAACAGTCAATTTACAACATAATAACAACGAGTCAAGGAAAACTCACAGCCATATATCCTGCCTTATTAGCAGTGATAAATAACATCGCTGCTTATCTGGAGGATATCAGTGCTCCCACATCTTCAAAACTCCTGCAGTTGTTTGCGTCCATGTCATCACCCGGATTCCTTTTATCGAACGACAGTAATCATGATCTCCTTCAGTCTCTTTTGGAGAGTATGAATGCTATCATCGAGCACCAGTATACTAGTGAGTTACCCCAGTATTGTTACTTGTTTTGCGAAAATAAGATACTGATTGTCCATCTAGAAAACCCTAATTTTGTGTACGCTATTCTGAGAAATAAGAAGAAATTTGAAGGTATGGTTTCACTCCTCATATTTTGAATGCCAACTGACTCTGGATCAGCCTTACGACATTTTACTTTGGAAAGTGGTCAAGAAGAGATAGAAAGAAGAAACAGGCGAAGGAAAGAACGTCTAGCGGAATCAGGAGACGTAGACAGTAGGAGAGGCTCCGCGGATAGTATACGGAGCCCATCTATAAGTCATCCACGAGGGGCATCAGCACTTAGCAATGTGCCAGAGGAGGATACGTTTGCTATTGGAGACGATGACGATGAAGATAGCGACGGTGAAGAACGTCCTACTCCAGCAGCATCACCTCCCATAGACCACCCTTCAAGGGCCTCATCGATATCCTCAAGTATTGACGACACAGTCCCTACCCAACTACGGGGAATGTCAGAAAAGGCCAGGGGGAAAATGCCCGGTACGTATTTCTGCATCTGGTTGCCGAATAAGTTACTAACTAGCGACAGCTGGCATGCCCACCTTCTCTAGGCACAACAGCACAACGAGCCTAAGTAGCTACGCAGCATTTTCATCGAGCGGTGCATTTGAACCTACGCCTCAGTGGATAGAGACTTGGCTTCCAGAACTTCCACTTCATACAATCTTAACACTCATTGATCAAATTGATTCTCTCCTCTCGAACCCTAATAATCCTTCTGATACACCTTCAAATAATATTCTCCGCACCATTCAAAAAGCCGAAATAAGAGGAATCGAGACTACAGCCATTCGTATTCATTCTTTTGAGTGGACGCCGTTGTCGCTTGGTTGGTACGAATCCCTACTATGGGCATTTGTATTCACATCTGAAATGCAGGTTGCGAAGGGTACGATAGGTGTTTGGAATGGAACAGCAATAAAACTGTTTAGAGTTCAAGAAGTAGCAGCACATGGACCTACGTTCAGCTCTCCGAGGGGTGCAGTTGACGCTGTGGGTAGCAATATTGTGAGTAGGCTTGGTAGCATGAATTTGAGGGGTGTGGCACAAGGCGGTACGGCTTCAACCCAGTCAGGTAGCAGTGGCGGCATTGGAGGAGGCATTGTAAGGACAGGCACTGGAGGATCTTCTAGAAACGAATCGCCGTTAGGGGGTAGGAGTGCGATTATTTGATTGATCGGCAATAGATTAGCATGTTAGGTATCATACACGGCAGGGTTTGTTGGCATACATGCATGCAATTTGTCAAATCACATGCGATAATCTCTTCAGCGTTGGCGTATAGGAAGAGAAAAAGAGACTAGGCGAGTCACGTATAAGATACACTGATAGCAATAAGGAACCTTTGTGCCCTATTTTAGACATACTAGCTCCGATTAAAAAGGTTGTTTCTCCTTTCTTTCAGTGGAAAAAGCGCCACATATAATGTAATCACAATACAACCTATGAATTATCTTTTAAATGTCCAGAATATCAGGTTGGATTTAGTGCACATGTGTTTCTAGTGCAGATCTTGATGATCCTCAACACTCAAGATAAGCCAGAAGATCTGAAGTACTGTATGAGATGTGGCTGTGTATTCTATCGGTTAGTAATCATTTCTTACTTGATGTTTCCGTGGTCTGAACTTGTGTTTCCTGTCCAGTCACTCTGCTTGATCTTCACGATCGACAAATTCTAGAATATGCAAAACGGGCAGAAGTGTGGCTGTGCCTGAAGATTATTCCTGAGGTAGGTGCTCCAGCGCATTTCATAGGTTGCACGTGGATGTTGGGAGCTTACGCCACACCTGTGGCTTAAGCTTTCTATTAGCTGAGCTCCTTTCTGATGATGTGTGAATATTCAATTCTTGGGATATTAAAGAAAGATAACATATCGCTTGAAGTTCGAAGGTGAAATTTGGATACTTTTTATTCTGCGTTTCAATTTTGATGCTGGAGAAGAGTCTCTTGAAACTTTTGCTTCTTATCTAAACAGAGAGGGAAATTGTGATTTTGTTTCTAATCTGCACGCGCGCGCAAATAAAATACACTACATACTGTGCATACATCACTTGGAAGCCCGAGGAAGGTATTGGGCAAAGTAAAAGATAATGGAAATGGGAAGAAGCGCGGCACTTCCTAGTGTTGCGGAGCATGCGCATGAGAGAGAGGCTACGGGAACGGGGGTAGCGGAAGAGGTGATAAAGAAATATAGAGTTCATGTGAGTACGCTTTGAATCATTTTCACCCCTTTTTATGGGCACTAGAATGGCGCATCAGGTTTGAGTTGGAGATCATCAGTGGCATGTGAACATGGGACGGGGGAGAGCTAAAGTAATGGGGACTAATAGCAAAATAATAGGTTAGTTCGAAATATCTTGATCTAACAAAGAAGAAATTGGAATTGACGCGATTGCCGCACGAAAGGCGAGGGGAAGAGGAGGGCAAAAGTGGAGGGGATGGCGAGAGTGAGCAATTGAATGAAGAGGGTGTGGTGACCAAGAAGGAGATTGAGGGCTTGGTTGATTATTGGTACGCTTACTTCAGATTATTGTCCGTTATCTGTTACAGGACTGGAGACTGTAATAATGAATAGGACAGGCAAAGGCTAACATACGATTATACGCAAAGGCTAGAAAACTATTCCTGGCGCACAAGGGAGAATTATTATAATTCCACATACCCGCAATATCGCACTACATTCACGATTCCGAAGTCTAACACCAATGCTCCAGAAGGCTCGAGTCAATCGCTACGCATTCATTTTATACACATACGCAGTTCTCGCGCAAATGCAGTTCCGCTATTGTTGGTTCCAAGTTTTCCGAACAGCAATTTGAGTTTAGATATAGAAGGGTTGAGTAAAGAGTTATGCGAGCCAGAGATTTTGGGAGAGGACGTTCAAGAATACGGAATCGGACAGAGACGGGGACATAAACAAGCTTTTGACGTTGTGATACCATCAATACCAGGCACGGGATTCAGCGATGAGATACCTGGATCTAGAGCAGATGTTATGGGGGAGACAGCTAGATTATTTGGGCAATTGATGAAAAGGTTAGGTTATGAAAATTATATTGCATCAATGATGGGGTCTGGGCGAGAGAAGGGTGGGGAAGTGGATTATCATCTAGGCAGAGGGATTGGTGACCTGGAAGGTTGTAGAGGTGTGCATTTGATCGAACCAAGATGGGGAGTTCCGACTGTGAAAGAAGGAGTTTGGGATTGGGTAAGGTGGAAGGTGGCATTATTTTTTCACGCGGGAGTTTGGGGGTATGAAGAAGGGGATTGGAGGAACTTGAGTTTGCAGATGAGGAAAAAGGAACATAGAAGCCCGACGAGAATTTCCTTGTTGAGTGGGAAGAAGAGGAGAATGGGATATGGAGCCGTTACGAGTATTGGCTTGAGAGAACCAGATGCAATAGCTTACGCGCTTTGTGATTCTCCAGTCGGCCTATTGAGTTTTGTTGCAACAGCGCTCAAGAAGAAGAATCCGAAGCATCAATTGAGCAAAGAGAAAATTATCGATCTTTGTCAATTATGTTGGTTGCCTGGACCTGAAGCCTCGTTGCGATATTATGCAAACGCAATACAAGAAAGTGAGCAGTCAGAAGGAGAAAAGAGGAACCGCAAAAGACAAAGGGTAGCAATAACGGTGTTTAATGGAGATGAAGGTTCTGTTGGATATAGTCCTCCTGCTTGGGGAATGGGCATACACGAAATTGTTTTCGTTCAAAGGGTTAGTGGAAAGGCCGGACTTTTGGAATGGGAGAGATCGAATGTTATCTTTGAGGGTATTCGTGGCTTGGCAAAAGAGGTAATAAGATTGGATGACAAAATTCAGCTGCGAAGATTGGAAGGAGTAGTTGTTGATGGGGGATTGGAACATCTTGAATCCAGTCATGGTATGCAACTAGATGTTGAGAGTCCGGATACAATTGTTGCAGGTTAAGGTCATGATGGTGTAAACCGAACGCGAAAATCAGAAAATCGGATCAGGCCAACATTGAAAAGACAAGAGGTCGACGATACGGTGGATATAATAAAAGACGAAAAGGATATGTGGGTTAGAGTGCTAATGTGGGAACGATCTGTTTTTGAGATACCAAGGGAATGTTTACTTATACGCATACAAATTTCTTTGATAAATTAATGTTCATATACGACTCGCTGTCAAGCGCCAAAATACATGTGAAACCACCTACGTGAAAAACACATTAAGTGCCAAGACATCGGGCTGACCCCAAAAAACTGACGCCCGCGTTTGTTGGTAAACGGGAGAAGTGCGATCGACCCGGTCTCGGGCTGACAAGGACATTGCAGATAAATCGAAGCTTTTTTCTCCACAGTGCAGTGAAACGTGCTCGGGAAAGTATCTTGGTTGGAGGCCTTTCCTTACTGATCCTTCACATTGTTGGAGATGTGATATCAACAAGATTGTCCAATGTGATCTGTCATGTATGGAAGGCTTAGTTTTGCTGCTCCCTCGAGACCAGCAGGGCGCCAAGAATTATTGGAGGCCTTGCGGTGCGAGTTTGTGCCCCTCAAGATTGGCATAGGCGATGGCTATGGGGTGTCCTGGTGTAACTCTTAGGCGGTTTGTACCGAGGAGTGTAGGTTGTTTCATGGCTACAATATCGAGATTACCAGCAAAGTCGTGTTGCTTTGTGCTAGGACCTTGACGTGCCAAAGTGCAGCTTTGACTGGCCCGGCCGTGTCAATATGTAGCAATTTACAACGGTGAAAAGGAAACCAATAGGGGAAAGCCAAATGCTTGTTAATAATAGGTGGCTGAATCCTGTAAGCTAGCTGGCTGCTTGGTTCTATACTTCCATCTCTCTCAAATTGTCTCGAGGTAAGGGGTAGAACTCTCCAGAGAAATCAAACGGAACATCATCAAACAATAATATATGAAACCTTGGCCACGGTAATGCAGGCTCCCATGCTTAATGATGCATGCTTCAAAATTCGATGATTTCTTATCTGACGTTTGAAGTACCGGTGTAAGATCTGCAACTGCGCAATAGGAAATTTACTCCAAATGTGGTACTCTTCCCGAGGGAAACGAACCAGAATGGCTGGGGTAGTGAGTACGTACGTCGAGCGTACATGCCAGCTTTAATGTTATCTGGAGGTCAGAGAGAAACAAGGGATTGAGTAATAAAAGGACTATCTACAGCGAATCTTCATCAAGAACATGGTTATAATCATCGAGGGTACAACAATTGTTGGATATCACATCATCTTGCCATGGTCATTAGCGAATAAAAGATGCCCAAGTTTTGGACCTCCAGTTATTCTGTCAATTATGGAATACCTAGTTATAGTAAACGAATGTGTCAGAAAGTAAATGCATCGCGGTAAATAGCCGCCATCATCTAATCGTTGATTCGAAGGTCGAAGATCTTCCAAGGACTAGAACATGTAAGAATGATTTTTTTTTCTGTTCTACGACCCATCAACCGTTTTCTGCAGGGAAGTGAAAACAATTTTTATTTCTTTGCCTACTTATCATGAGGCTAGAGAAAAGGTTAACATTGTGGACTTTAGCTAGTACAGCTACCACACCACACAAACCAACAATCTTTCTAGCTGGCCCATAGGAAAACCTTATTTTTTATTCCAATTCTTTCCCAATTGTACATAATATAACATACAGACTATTCACCCCCGGTTGCTCGTATCATATCAATCTCCTCTTCGTCATCCTAGTCTCCTCACCTTCTTCGTCTTCCTCGTCCACTTTCTCTTCTCCTTTGTGCCCTTTCTGTTTCTTATACTATCACACAACACTTCATATTTCATATTCCATCGTGACCTGTCGAATTGTACCAAGTTCTCAGGGGATTTTGTCCAACAATTATCCAATTGAGGTGTTGTGATCGGGGTTGACAGACAAAGCTAAAGATTCATCACGACCAGTGTGCTTTCCTGCCAAGTGTTGATAAGACTAACAAAGACCAATCTCAAACCTCGTCATTTTTAATCTTTGAAAGCTTCTTTCCCCTTTTGCTTCGCCACATTATACAACAAACCGTCCGAGGAGTCTATCGCAGACTTCCTTCGCGACTTCCTCGGGTCTGCGACCCTTATACAATGCATTCCGTGCAAACGGGGATTTCCAACTATTCATCAAACTCGAGCAGCTGATAATTTTAATATCTTCTGCGGAGCGCTGCCAACACTGCTTGGTCGAACTTTTCCTTCAGAACCGCAAAGATGTTCACCCTTCTGCTAGAACTATGGCAACATATTGCGGCTCTCAAGCCATCTTTTATTTCCAAAAGCCCCCATTTCAATTTCATCACTGTACATTGTAAGTTCAGAGAGACACAGATAATGGAAAACTCCGCATCGTGTAACGACACTAACTTAACATCATGAAAAGATTTCTGGATCATTGGAATGACACTGCTCGGTTCTATCTGTTTATATATTCGAGGAGGAATACCTTACATAGATGCGCTATTCTTCGCAAGTGGTTGTGCAACCCAAAGTGGATTGAACACTATCAACATTAACACCCTCAACACATGGCAGCAAATTGTCCTATACTTAATACCGATATTCACGAACCCAATCACGATCAATTCCTTTGTCGTTTTCCTTCGATTATACTGGTTCGAAAAACGATTCCAGCACATTGCCGCCCAAAACAAGAGAAACCGAAGGAGTATCGCCAAATCATTCTCGAGATCGAGAACAACTGGTGCGGATACTGTAGATGCGGAGAAAGGTGTAAATGGCAGAAACATTGTTGTAATGCATGGCACGACAAGAGCGAATGTTATGCGCGACAATCGGGATGCTATTGATGATATCCAAGCAGCAATTGAGAAAGAAAAGGCGCTAAACAAGGCAGATGCTGTCAATGGTTCTGGAAGTAGTAATATATCAAGTACGGAGACCGCGAACGATCCCAGTCCTACTTCACATCACACACAAATTAAATTTGCCGATCAAGTAAAGAGGAGTAATGGACTGGCCGATGAAGAGCTGCGATTACCAGTTCGTCGTAGGGATGAAGATCATATTGCCTTTTTAGAACGTCAAAGAAATCCAGAAGACAGGACTATTCTTCGAATTCCCGGACCAAGAGATGCAGACGCTGGTGTTGCTCCACAAACCGTTGAAGAGGAGGAAGAAGATCCGGTTGTTAGGACATTATCTCGCCGAGGTTCCATGTATTCTCGAAGGGGAAGCCATGATCGTGGCACTTTGAATGGAGAGTCGCAGTGGCAAGACCATTATCCCTCAAGGAAGCGTAATGTTACAATCGAAGTTCCAACACATCCTAAAGTTGAGCGGGCGGTGGATGATGTGAAAGCTGCAGGCGCTACCATGAAGGGTGTCATGAGATTTCGCAACAACAGAAACGCCGAGGGCATCGAAGCCACGGAGACTCAGGGAAATGGAAATGGCGCAGTCATGTCGAGATTGAAGTCAAGAGCTCCAACATTTCAAAGCATCAAAACAGCTCTTACTGGCGAAAAAGAGGACCCTACTCCTTATTTGAGTTGGGCACCAACCATCGGTCGTAACTCAGCCTTCGTTGATCTCACCGAGCAACAAAGAGAAGAACTCGGTGGAATCGAATACAGATCACTGAAATCTTTGGCTTTAATTTTGTCTTGTTATTTCCTGGGATTTAGTATATTTGCTGTTGTTTGTCTATTGCCCTGGATTCTTAATAGCCGAACCTATGGCTCAATAGTCGAGCAAGATGGTCAGGGCAGAGTTTGGTGGAGTATATTCACAGCTAGTTCTGCTTTTACGGATCTGGGATTTACTCTCACCCCTGACAGCATGATCTCTTTCAATACTGCTATTTGGCCACTCTTGCTGATGTCATTTCTGATTATCATTGGCAACACGGGGTTTCCGATCATGCTGAGATTCATCATTTGGGTCACCACATTGTGGGTGCCCAGAAATAGTGCGGTTTGGGAGGAATTGAGATTTTTACTAGACCATCCTCGTCGATGTTTTACGCTACTTTTTCCAAGTAAGGCGACTTGGTGGCTGTTTTGGATTCTTGTAATATTGAACGGGGTCGACTTACTGTTCTTCATTATTCTTGATGTAAGTTTTCCCATCCCTCGTGGTATTGTACTTTGCTGATGGCTTATTTTAGCTCGGCAATTCTGTTGTGACTGATCTGCCAGTAAACATTCGCGTTCTCGATGGTTGGTTCCAAGCTGCTTCCACAAGAACAGCTGGGTTTGGAGTTGTCAATCTTGCGGAACTTCATCCTGCCATCCAGGTTTCTTATCTAATCATGATGTATATTTCTGTTCTTCCTATTGCCATTTCTGTTCGTCGTACGAACGTTTATGAGGAAAAGTCACTGGGTATTTACGGATCGCCAACAGAAGAGAATGAGGACGAGGGCGAGCCATCTTACGTGGGTGCCCATCTTCGAAGACAATTGTCTTTCGATTTGTGGTATATTTTCTTGGGCCTTTTTATCATTTCAATCGCTGAAGGCAGCCGCCTCCAAGGTACTGATCCATCTATTAATATGTTTTCTGTCTTGTTTGAGATTGTCAGTGCCTACGGTACAGTTGGTCTGAGTCTAGGATATCCGGGAATTGATGCCTCTTTATCTGCCGAATTCAATGTTGTCTCGAAACTTGTCATTATTGCGATGCAAATTCGTGGGCGCCATCGTGGTCTTCCGTACGAGCTCGATCGCGCCATCTTGTTGCCAAGCGAGCATTTAGCAGAAAAAGAAGCTCTGGATGCAGCACAACGAGTTCACCGTCGGAATTCCAATGCGACAGCTGTTAGCAATGGAACAGATCTCGCGACTGTCAATACTGGCGTTCAAAGAGTCAATACGGAGCGTCAAGCCCCATCAACGAACTTCCTCAGCAGTCTTCTTCACCCAGGCCCGACTATTCCAAACAGCCATCGGAATCAAGGTACGACTCACGTTAGGCGGCACAGCATAGCAACACCAGAAAGGGGACGAAGTGTCAGTCCAAAAGCTAGTGGTGGCATCTTCTCCAAATGGAACAGCTCCGATAAACATCAGAATAATGTGGATAAGAAAATATCCGAATAATCGAGATAAGTTTGGAAGGGAGATATGAATCAATTGTACAAAAAAATAGTTGTGGGACAAAAGCACTGGGCATTGTTTCTTTTTTAAAAGGGGGAGGCTGCGAGAATATGGGATGCTACTACGATATCATGATACCTTAGATCGAATTTGCTTTTTGGGGCATATGTTTTGATGATTTTGGAGTTAGTACGTTGATGGGTTTATAGATACGCAGGTACGGGTAGCGTTGTCATTATTGTGTTTGGGCATGTTGGGGAACTCAATGGAGTGTAGCGGAGCGTGGGTAAATGAAACTTCAGTCTGGAGGTTCGGGATTTGGGTTACATATAACGGCATGCATAGGTGTTCTGGGAGTTTTCATGGTATATGATACATATCGGCCTGAACTTGTGTAGATAGGTATGAAGATTGCATGGCTTTGAATATTAATTACACATGATTTTTGCACTTCCTTGACTTTTATTAGGCGCTTGAAAAAAGAACTATGAGAATGTATCTACTAAGTCTACTTGTCACTTTCACGGCAAACCCTCACTCGCTCGACAGTCGGTCTACACCTGCTGATTATGTAGGCGGGCACTCCAATTGAAATACATATAGATGCTTGTGACGTATCGATTGACAGTTAATGGGAACTTGAATATATCATGCATATAATGAATGTGCGAGTAATGAAAGGAAAATGAAGGTCATCAAAACAATATCAAATGTGATATGAGACCAATGGTCATCAAAACTCCTAGGCATCAACTGTTTAAGTCGCTTGTCTACATGTTTCTCAACATCCCCGAGCCAAAGAATGATGAATCGAGAAGCGGGGTATTGTGTTGGGGTGAATTGTAGATTTTTATACTGTCTGTTTCGTTCAGGGTATCAAATAGTTTGGACTGCGGTCTAGCAATTAGAAACTTTGGGACATTCAATCACTTTCGAATATTGAAATTGGTTTGGGGTTTAAGGCACTTTTAGGGATTGGAATGATGTTACATATTGAAATACTTTTCATTGTCAAATTGATTTGAAACATTGGATCTATGAAATCTATAATGGTCATGATAAATAGGTATGCCTGTCGGGTGGTACTTCTCGATTCTTGTTGATTTCTTGATGCTTTTCATGGTGATGACTGTTCATCTATTCGTGTGTTTTAGAGTGTGAGATTCACTTCTGAAGAGTATAATTGAGTTTTGTTTCTAAGATGAGAGATGAGAGAGGGAAGATGGTGACATTGTTAGGGGACTTCAACGATTGGTTGGGATCTTTACGGTATTTTATAACAAAGGGGTTAGTCGGTCTCCGAAGCGAAGTTTCTGTGGAAGAATTGGGTGTGGCGGGGTGTGTAGTGAAGTGGCCCGGGGAGTGTAGTAGGTGAGTGTTAGCTTTGGCGTGTGAATGAAGGAGGGTAAGGCTTGATGTTTGAGGTGAGTAGTGGGGGGGAATGAGGAGGTGTGTAGCTGGAAAGTAATGAGAGAGGGTGAGGGTTTGTAGTTAAGAGGGGGGCGCGTGAATTCTTGGCAGAGCGAGGGGAAGGAAATATAGCATAGGGTTTGCTTGCTAGGCTAAATCACTAATAAGTTATATATAGTAAGACTGTATATTAGAATGAGAGTATAGGAATGATTGAATGATACATATTGAAACAATTGTTATATGGGAGCTGGCGTCCTGGTCATTTTAAAAGTGCTTATGCCTCAAAGTAAGAGTGAGAGTAAGAGTATAGACACAAAAGGAAAACCCTATATAATCCCTCCTTCTTTTCTCTCGAGTCTTTTGATTGCTTTGATCCATATTATATAATCACGCCCACACTTTTGTGTTGTTATACAGTTCTAGTATACTGTGAAATCATATGATTTAGTCTAGTATAAAAAACCCATACCTTTACATATATTACATATGAGCTGACGCTTGCGTTATTTTAAAGGTCTTATAACTGAGAGTAAAATGATAGATACAAAGAAGAAATATCTTGAATCCCTCTTTTAAACTTTAGGATTATCCCATATCGTATCATTTAATCTTCAGACTCCAGGTGCGCCAGATTGTAGACGAGGAATAGGGAATTCATTTTCCAATAATAAAGGCTCGCAAATAGTTCAGCGTAACTGTAAGTACACTTTGTATGGCGAGGTGTCTGAATTGAAATGGAAACTGTTGGTTTGAGAAGAGTATGGATGATGTAGGACCTATAATGTAGGTTCTAGTTGTCAATGTGTATTGAATCTAAAGAGCCAGCTATGTACAGAATAAGTAATCCTTCAATAGGCCTTGCTGTAGGACTAGCTCCTTTATGACTTAAACGCCATTCATTCACTATTTGTTCACACAGAAACCAAATGAATTTAAACACAAAGGTAGTAACTATGAAAAATGCGATTCTTAGGATGAAAATAAGTTCAAGACCTGGAAGTTAATTTTATTCAGGCGAACAAAAAGGTGTGCAGGCAAGCAACACATCCTACGCAAGCCGAAAACAGCATGAAGAGCATCATAAAACTCCTCAAATCACCTAGAACCATCCTCTGTCTCTCAACAATGACATCAACTACCGTCTTACTCAGCTCCTTACCCCTCCATCCATCCCTCCTCGCACACGGCCTTACCGGATTCGGCAAACATCGCCCCTTATTATCCTCCACAACAAAGTAATCCTGTACCAATGTCTTTCCCTCCAGATATAGCGTCCGCAGCCTGTCACTACAGAGCCCCAAATTCCACGTGTAGCACGCGCCCTCAAGGGGAAATGGCGGTGACTCGCCCGAATGCTCCCAATGTTTGTACATGTGTCCGGTGCTATACCCGGAGGCTGGAACGGTTCCAGAAGCGATGTCGAGCCCATTTATGGCACGCTGGAAAATCGTTTGTGCCAGTTGAGGTTGTTGCAGCCCTACGTTGTGGCTGGCGGAGTACACTCGGATGAAAGATAGATTACCTGCCTGCCGAACTTGTGCGCCCACGGGGTACCCTGGGAGTGAGACGTCGGCAATGCCGGCGGAGGAGAAGTCGTGAGAATAACTGAAGGGAATAGCGTGCGAGACAGCTTCGCCGCCGAGCCCTGTGCGATAATAATTAGCATCCGATTAATAATGATGAGGATCTACACGTTGGTTATTTCTTACAATTGCAGGCAAAGTCTCGATCTCCGTACACCATGGTTACGGGCACTCCAGCGTCCATTATACTTGCGAGTGCCTCGAGAGATCCCCCTTTGACATTATCACCTGTCAAGGAAAACGCCTGAGCGACCACCGGTGCGTTTGCGGAAAAGTTCACGTGCACACCGAGGGCGTCTTGTACGTGTTTCTGGTTCAGGTACCCAAGATATGTCTCAGAGAGGGGATTGGCAAGGAGATTTTCTGGGTACGCGATATCGAAATAGCTTCTACCCGTGGCGACGCTGGCGACGTGCTTGCCGCAGTACTGATTGGCTTCACGACAAATGTCGTCAACATTGCTTGAGGCGCTTAGGGTGCGGTCAGCAGCTGTCGAAACATTTCGGCAGGCTTGAATCTTTGCGAGGCAGCCGTTGCTTTTCTTGAAGTTATGTATAGCTGTCAGGTAGCCTGCCTGGTCCGTGAGAGGGGCGCTGTAGTTATTCTTGAGCGCCATTTCGGGGTAGTAAGGAAGCTGAGTGGGACCATCGATACATGCGTTGGTCATGCCCAGAGTTCCGATGTTCAGTGGAATAAACTGGTCTTGGTCCAGCTTACCTTGGCTGTGACGTTCATTTTGAAGCAAAGCGTATTGGATGAGTTTTGGAACGAAATGGCCGCCATACGAAGAAGTCCAGAAATTTATCTAGATGTTGTGAGGAAGGGCTTCTCTAAAAAGTTTGCTTATTATGACCGTACCTTATTATTCGAAGACTCTCTTTTGCCGAACTTCTGCATCCACACTTGGAGGAAGAACCATGTGCTGCGAGCCACCGCTTGCGTGCTGTTTGCGGTGTTGTGCGGATTATGACTTGAAAACAATCCTCGTCGCGATCCAGACGCGAGTTCCGTTGGGGTCTCTGTTGAATTCCTGTCCAACACCAGATTATCATTGGCATCAAGAACGCCGGGTTCAGCGAAATCGTAGCTAAAGCCTTGAATCAGGTCAGTGATATCTCTATACAAAGTGGAAGACATTTCTTACCTGTTTGTACAGGCTGGTCAATATAAAGGATGTCTGAATGTTCATTCCAAGAGAATCGATTGTTAGAGGTACTGTTACTGTCTGAATTGACTCTACATGGCCCGTTTTCACGGAACAAGGACATTACTGCAAAGGAGATGAGTTATAATCTTAAAAGCTACAAACGTGTCGCAAGTCTTACAACTGGAAGCTCCTGGCCCGCCCATAACTGCGGATTGTCAGCCCACAGTCCATGTCTCTTTCTTTATACACTCACAATATACTGTCAGTGGTGAATCGGCCCTCTTCTTCCGGTTCTGGAAGTACCAGAAGAAGATATTGACGGGATAATTCTTAGTGGAATCGATGCCATACTCCTTCAGAACTCCAGACTGTAGTCGAATATATCCAGAATGGCTCTCTACACCCGGCGCTTCCTCACATAGTGAAACTGGCTTTGAGTCAACACGGATGTCGTCTCGAAGTCTCAGGGAGAGTGTCAGAACAGGACTCAGATTGAATAGAATCAAAAGGAAACTATAAACTAGCCCATACACCGAAGAGCAAGGCATGACAATCATGGTGATGCTATTGCGCCGTCAATGAAAGATGAACAATGCACATCCAAAATGCGCATATGCTTCGGGGCCACCGCAGTCCAGACAGCACGGCGTAGTGACGATCAGAGTTCACCCTACTTTCCGTCCTTCAAGGCTATCCCGCGGTGACCCTCCTTGGCACGAAAGTAGCTGGCAAGCGCGTATGCGTTAGCGTCATGGCGAGCGCCAGCCTTGACATTTGTAATATGCATATGATATACGAAGTGTACTTGCACATTCTCTGTTTCTTACAGGTCTGGTTCCAACAGTGCATATGGGTATTACCGGTCTAGTCTTAATTCGGTAATCGGCCCCACTAGGGTCAGAATCCCTACTCGTGCGGCCGGAAAGTATACAGCTCCTGCCTCAATAGGATTAAACCATTGCAGGGGAGCCCTCTAGTGCCTGAAACAGACAGAAATCATTCATCTCTGTGCCGAAAACAGTACGATTTCAATACCCCGTGGGGTGCTGGAAACGAGCCCCTCCATTTAAAGTGATAACCGAAGAACTTCCGAACTCTCAAAATGCATATACTTGCCAAAGTTTTATTAGAGGATAATCTCAAAAAATATCAATAATATTGCCATATTAGTTTGTGGTGATTCAAGTAATTATTAGGCTTGTATTTTGAGAGTTTTTTGATTGTCTAAATAGAACTTGTTTTTTTTTGGCTAAAAAGAGACAAGATTTGGGTAGATGAATCTTCAAAAAGAGCTTGGACCGCTTGAAAGGAACCTCAGGATATACCGAGGCCGATATGAACCATTTTGTTAATACACCAAAAATAGAATTCTACCTGATACAAAAAAAAAATCTAAAATTTGTATAATATACCTATATAAATCTTGGAAAAATAATTTGTACTATATAGAGCGCAATCTCATTATATATCACTATAAAAACCATTTATAATATATCTTTATTTTTTAAATAAAATAATAACAATAGTGATATTATCATATATTAGCTTATATTATAAAAGTAGTTTTTTCTTTTTCTATATCTATTAAGCTTATATAATTATTTTAGTATATATAATCTTAGAATAAATAAATACATAAAATATAAATAAATAATTGAATCTATAAACATTTCAATTCAAATTATTCAAATCTATTCAAAAATGTAAATATTTGATTATATAAACAATATTAAAATGATATCTATTTTTATTACAATTAATTATAACAATTCTTATAACTCTATTTTAGTTACTTCTCAAATTAGTTTCCCTTTATATTCCTTTCATATTTTAAAGGATTTATTAAATCTAATTCAATTTGAACCTTTCTTGATTAATAGAAATCGAATTATAAACTGTTCTGTTTGTTTTGTATAATCCTTTATATATCCTTTAATTAATATTTATTAATCTTTTAATAATTAAAATACTACTTTATATATATAGATTACTTTATTCTTCTTGAAAAAAAGATTCTATATAAAACAAAGCTTCGATATAATAATACTCTAGGTGAATCTCTATATAATATCTATATTATTAAAACTCTAATTATTTAATCTCGATATAGATTTAATAATATAATAATAGTTTTTTATAATCTAATATCTTATTTCTTTTAATAATATAATAAAATATTGACCCTATTAAAAATACAAAAAAGGGAATAGTATTTTTGTAGTATATATAAAATTAAAAAAGTAGTTTAAAGGTATTTATATTAATTGCAAAAGATAAAATAGATATAGAGTATATATTATATAAAATATAAATTCTAATAAGTTTATAATTTAATTAGAAATATTTAAAATAATAATTAAAATATAATCTAGAAAATATACAACTTACTCTATATTATATCAATCTATTAATAGCTATAAAAAACAAATAATTAAGGTTGATCTAGAATAATAGAATTAGATTTGGAAAAAGAGCTTATTATTAATATCTCGATTTTTATATATTTTATAATAATATTAATAATTCAAATGGATTTGATATTAATAAACTTATTCATTTCCTATATTAGATATAGGAAATGATTTATTTTCTTTTTCTTTTTCTTGAATATAATATAATATAATATAATTAATAAGAATAAAGAATCCAATTAATATATATTACAATTCAGAATCCTTTTATTATTTTATAATTATATATTTCAAATGTTATATATTCAAATAGAGTATTTATTGTATAAAAGAAAAACAAAAGAAATAATAATAAAATAGCTTTATAATTTTAAAAAACGAATATACTAGATTTCACTTTATTTACTATTATTATTTCTTATTAGTTTTTCTATTAATTAATCTTTTATAAAATCCATTTTCTTTAAAGAGATTATTCTAGAATCTAATATATTATAATATATATAAAGTTAGTAATATATTAATAATCTTTATTAAATCACTTTAAAATAAAGATTGAGAAAGTTTTAATTTATTAAAAAAAAAGAGTTCAATATTAATAAATGGAATTATAGTATTAGAAATACTCTTTGATTTAATTAATTTATTATTTAATATATAATTTAGGATATATAATTTATTAATAATATTGATATAGATATTGATATAGGATTTAGTATTTGATTATTGTTTTAAGTTTCTTTATATATATACTTAAAAGAGTAATTAATCATTTGAATATTATTATTTTTGAATATAATCTTTTATATTAATCTAACTTTAATTTTCTTTTTTGATTACTTATCTATTAATTCAAATTTGATTTTGGGATTATTAATAAACTCTTTTTTGATTAAAGATTTAAAAGAAAACTCAGATTTCGATATTATTCTTTTGAGATTACTTGATTTAGATTTGATTGAAATCCTAGGATTATTCGATTATTAATATATACAAATACTTTTGTTAATCTTTTATATAATATAATTTATAATATTCTACTTTATAAAGAGAAATATTAAATATATATTCCTTTTCCCCTTAAAAATATTCCTAGTTTTTAATAAATCATATAATATATTGATATTTTAGAATATATTATCTATAAGTATTTTATATTTCATTATAATTAATAATAAATCCTTAAATTGAATTTCTTCAATATTTTCAATAAAATACTTATATTTAGAATTGTCTATAGAATCTATTTAATGATTGTTTTTGATAAATAATAGGATAACCTTATTTCAAAGTCAGATATATGGATTTTCGAATGAATAATTATCAAATAACAATATAAATTTCTTTATATATTAATTAGTTTATATATAATCAATTCTAATAGAAATATTATATATAAAGAATAAATTGAAGTAAAATTTAGAGAATAAAATATATTAACTAAAATCTGTTTAAAGAAGGTTTTGAAACTATTTTCTAAAGTATATATATTAAAATAAAAATAAGTGATTTTAGTTAAGGTAATATTGATAGTAAATTTAATATTAATAATTTATAAAATACTCTTTTTATTTTTATATTCCAATTCTGTATTTTTTGTTAAAATAATATTTTTAAATTATTTAATATTTATTCTAGTATATAGTACTTATGCTTTTATTGTCTTTTCTCTTTTTCATTTATTTATATAATCAATTGTTTTTTGCTTTAGTTATATACTATTTTGAGATATATTTATTATATATTGTAATAATAAAATAGATTCTTATAAGCTCTTATTTTTAATAATACTTTTAATAAAAGAATCTAAGAATAATTCAGAAATTAAAAAACTAAAGAAAATCAATATAATTTTGAGAGTTTTATTAGGATTTGTTATATTATAATATATATAGAAATTAATAAAGAGATTGTGTTTTTTCTTTATATTAAAATAGTAAGATATCTATTAGAAATATTGATTTGAGAATCTATTTATTTCAAAAATACAAAAAATAAATAAGAAAATCAATTATATAAAAAAAACTAATAAAAGGAAATAAGGAATATTAAAGAAAATTATACTTCTAGTTTTTATTTAATTCAATTTTGATTCATAATTCTATTATCCCTAATCTCAATATTAGATTTATCTCTAATTAGATAATCCATATTCCTATTTATAATAATTTCATTAGTATAATACCTTTAAGCTTATATAAAGCTCAAATTATTATATATTATATCACTTATAGCTTCCCTTTTCTCTATTATTCTATTATATTTATTTATAGATATTAAAAATAAATATAAAAATGATTCTTGATTCGAATTAATATATTTTTATAGATATTTATAAAGAAAGTGATATACTAATATATATATAAACTTATCTTATTCTGTTTTATTATTCGATTTTATAATATTCAAATTATATTCAAGATTCTAAACAAAATCTTAATAGAACTTAATTATAACTAATAATAGATATTTATTAATATCTATAAGATTAATCAAATATATAAATAATAATATAAAGATAAATATACTCTATTTCTTATAATCTATTAAAAGCTTCTTATAAAACTTAGATAAAATAATTCTCCCTTTATTCATATATTCCTCTTAAAGGAATTAATATATTATAAAAAACTTTCTAATATAATAATAAAAGTATATTTTATTTTTTTGAATATTATATATATTCTAAAGATCTATATATCCTATTATCTCTTTTCTTATCTATTTCATATAAATAATAAAAATTATAATTTGATCCCTATATTTATCTTTATAATATTAATTATTCTTTACTAATTCTTCAAAATAATTCTAGATTATATTAATAATTGATTATACAAAGAATAAGAAAAATAGAAAAGAAAAAAAAATTAATTTTATTAAAGTTTAATTAAGAAAAATTTTCATTTATCTAAATAAAAATTAATAAAGGATAAGGAAACATATTCTTTATTAATATAATAATAATATTTGAAGTTTTTATTATTAATTTTTAATCCATTGATTTTTAGTACTCTTTTCAAACCAAAAACAGTCTTTAATTTCTTTTATATTTTTATCAACTTTTCGAGATAATACAAAATGAGCTTCAATTATAAGAGAAAGCTTTATTCTTTTATTTACTCAAAAGAATCTAGATATTATATTAATTTTAAAACAAAATAATAAATATTGATATATAATTAATACTAATCATTTATTTACTATTTTAATATATATTTATAGAATAAAGTATGAATAAATATTAATATATATATAAATCTTAATTCTAATTAGAAATAATTTATTATACTTATTTATAAATCAAATGAAATTCGGTTTAGGAATTCTATATTTTCTATATATTAATTGAAAATATTTCATTTGTTTTTTAATATTCTAAGGATCTAATATTCAAAGCATATAAAAAAGAATATCTTTAAAATAGATATAAAATATTAATAAAAATATACTTTATAATTTTAAGTAAATAAATAATATTATATTATAATATAAGCTTTTTCTTTTTATAGAAATAGATATATAATAATCTTTTATTATAACTCTGAATATAATCTAATTCTAAGTCTTTTTTAAGAATTTTGAAAAGTTATTTATTTTGTTTATATTGTTTTTTGACTATAAGTTTTTTATAAAAACTAAAAAATAGATATATCTTCTTGATTTACCTTTCAGATATATTTTATTCTTTAGTTTTGAATACTATTATCATTTTTTTATTATTTAATAATAAAATGAAATATATTACAATTTGACTTTATATAATAGAATTATTATATTTGATTCTAGGTTTTCGAATGAATCCTTATTGTTTAAAATATTTATTAATAATTCTAATTTCAATATTAATATCAAATTCAATAGTAAGCAATTATTTAATACTTTTAGTATTATAATTATTAATATATTATTATTTAATTAAGTTTTTATATAAAGATAATAAACTTTAAGATTTATTTATATCGATTATATAAATAAGAGTAAAATATAAAAAATAAAAAGAATCAAAGAAATAGTAATATTGATTAAAGAAAAGGGGACTAGTTTACGAATATTTTGAGAAAAGTAAATATTATATCAAAAAGTAGGAATTATGAAATGATATAATAATAGGTAATCTATTTGACTAGAAATATATATTCTATTATTATATATGCTTTTAGTTCAGGCAGAATTCTATTTTTGGTGTATTGGCAAAATGGTCCATATCGGCCTCGGTAGGATAAGCGAACCATCTGATTGATCGCTTTCTTTCCCAAATCTTCATCTACTATAGTAGGATTGAAAGGAGCGGTGGATTCTATTGGCTCCTTTGCACTAATATAGCGTATTTAGAGCCGGACTTGCATGATTTCTAACCGCACGAGTACATGACAAGTCAACGCATCATCTTATCTACTTACTCATCAGGCTACGATCCTTCTGTAGTTGGCCCTCTCACAGTAAAAGGGTCGACGAGCTGTAACTCGCCGCTTCCAGTTTAATTGCGCGAGCCTTGAGTATTGCTCGTTAGGTCTTCACAGTTAGGGTTGACAAACTGCAAATTGGGCACCCACCTACCTGAGCAGCCCAAAATGGACAGCTATCACGCATCCGAGTCTGGATCGCGACAAGAAGCATCCGAGAAACTGTTGTCCGACTCTAGCTCTCAGAACGATTCTCACAACCATATCGAACTAAAACGCGCACGAAGAAGCCGGTGGTATTCGCGATGGATCATTGCACTTCCCGGATTCTTTGCCTTCCTTACCATTTACTCCTTGGCTTTGGTATCTCTTGTGAAGGACTCGGCCTGTCTGGCTCAGTCTAATTCAGCTGGGCAACTCATCTACAGTGCGCAAGATTGAGTACAGCCACGTGTGTAAGAGTACTTGCTGACCTAGACCAGCACCTGTACGGGACGCCATCGTCAAAGAAAAGAAGACCATCGATGTCTCGGTCCTGCATGGAAATCCCTTGAAAGGGCCACCAAGTCCGGAACTTGACGAGGCATGGAGTCGACTTCTAATGAATGCCAACGTACGTGTGTCCGCAGAGGATCTCGAGAAAGCAGGAGTCGAGTCCATTCCGCTGAATGATGGCTCTGGCAAGTACTACGCGATCCTGGATGTGTACCATCAATTGCACTGCCTTAAATACATTCGCCATTATATGTACAAGGTAAGAGCACACCCAAGCAGGCCAACTTGTTTCGCTTCTGTAGCTGACATGTTAAACAGGATATTTACGACGACATTCAGCCATGGACTCCAACCCACGTAGATCACTGCATTGATAGTATTCGGCAGAACCTGATGTGCAATGCGGACACGGCAATGATGGGGTTTCGGTGGGTGAATGATAGTCTCGAGCCCAAGCCAAATTTTCGTGGCCAGCATGAGTGTGTGAATTGGGAGAGTATCGAAGAATGGGCCTCTGAGCGATCATTCAACCCAGATGACCAGGCGAATTTGCGCCACCCAAGCGCTGCATAGCAACGTATACATTAGACTATAATAAAGAAACATATGTGTGGTATTGTGGTATATATCTATCTATTCTGCTTCCGAGTCCTCAGGCGCAACCACGGGTCGGTGCTGACTCGCCCACTCAAATACATCGCGGTAATCTTTACATACATGATAGTGCCCATCTATGAACTCCTTGGGCCCGCTCATAGGCACCAATGTCGTATCAATATTACACATAATGGTCTGCCGGATCTGATCGATACAATGCATAACATGCGCCCATGGCTCGCTCTGATTCTTCTGCGCTTGAGATTCAAAAACTGAGGTTCGAATCTTGGCCAAACAGTGCAAGTTATGATACCCGGCCATGAAAAAAAGGCCATTACCAGGCGTATCGGGATCCGGCCATGTTTCTGAAAGGCCGTACATTTCACGGTCGGACTTGCTTACTGATACCAAACCATTGCCAGCTTCAGGTTGAATGTCAGTCAATATACTCGGGAGAACCACAGCGATCTGTAACTTACAAGGGAAGAGACCTCTCCAAAGAGAGTCTGCTTGCGGTTTCTTCGCGTCAATATCACCATAGGTCGTGTCTTGAAACACTGCAGTATGAATAGTCTTGTGGGGCGGATCTGGACAAATGTTTTAGCAAGTCGGATGTATGCCTGGGAGAGCCAGCTTTCTCACACTCATCGATGCCCATGGGTTTTGGTGGTATAGACCATAACGTCAAAATCCAGCCCGCATTACTTATCAACAAGAGCACGAAGACGCCCGTCTGTAGGAGAAGAGGCACATTGTTTTGACGACCTTGAGGAGCCAGCGACCATTCGGATTCACTTTTTTTCTCCGATTCTGACTCTGGCAGTTGGCTGTACCTCATTTCGTGGAGGAGTGCCTTTCAGAGCTTTCCTAGACAAAACTTTTAAAGCGAATTACTGAACTTGTGATGTGGAATTGGAAGTAGTCCAGAAAGCAAAGTAGAAGGACATAAAACAGCGGGCATCATTAGACCCCGGAATTTGACAGGCGTATTTTTCGACAATCACTTCGAGGCCCCAAATGACGTGACTAGGGTCACAATAGCGGGCATTAGCATAACGACAAACAAGCTCCAATCCAATCTGAGAGAACAAACGGCACGAATGCATGGTTACAGGGCAATATGTACCAAGTCTGTATTCGTATTGAAGTCGGACCGGTCTTGAATACTACCTGTACTACTTTCTAACAACATATTCTTCCGACAGAAACCCCAAGACTACTGCATGCGCCTAGTCTACGACTCTCCATTATCCTTGCACCTGCATATTCCAATTTAGGGTATTCAATAATCCGGACTATAATCCAATAATGAAGATTATCAAATCCTTAAATCAATAAGAATATTTAGATTATTTGAGATATTAACTTTGATTCAGATATTAAACTATTTTCAGATTTCTAATTATTTTTAAATATTTAAAATCTTATATTGTTGGACTACAATCCGGACTATTGAACAATCTGTTCTCATTAAGACTAGTATAACAAATAGAGAGAACTAGGGATAGTATAAACTTATAAATAAATTTAATAATAGGCCTTATATAGTACAGCGAAATAATGAACGAACTACTATAATATATTTATAGAATAATATTTTAACACAAATTTTATTCTTATATCCATATTATTCTACTCAAAATAAGATAAGAAATGAAGAAAGTTAGATGATAATGTAAACTTACAGAAAAGCTTAAATCATGGTAGGCTTTTGCACGATGTGATAAGATAGGAAACGGATTATCATACTAGATATGGCATGTTATTTTATGCCGGAAAAGGCAGGTGACAATGTTCTAGTATAAGCCCTATCCTCGTGTCTGCATATTCTTATTGAAAGATGAAGAAAACTAGGAGACGGCACAAACTTGTAGAGAAGTTCATAGTAGAGTAGGTCTTTTTACAATATATCAAGACAGGAAACGAATCATTATGATGAATATGGAATGGTGTTCTATGCCAGAGAAGGCAGGTGATGGTGTTCTAGCGGGATCTGATTGCTGACTACATAAAACACATATTTCAGTATCCTCGGATCGAGGACCTCAAAGTTGATCCGCTTATGTTATCGTAGAGCTGTACAAAAAGATGCTTGATCGTCCATACGCGAATACAGTAAGCGAGGCGGGGGAAAGGAATCCTTGTTCGCCAGCGAGCAGTGCCCCATGCCAAATCCGGCCGTTGTCGATATTGACCTATTATTCTCAGTTATGGGAGATTGACTATCTTTTCGTCTATTGCAGCGTCAGTTCGAACTCATCTATATATTGAGCCTGAAGATCGGTCTCTTCAGTTACTCAACCATCTCTAACTCACTTCAATAAACCACAATCGTTCCTAGACCTAAAAAAAATCTCTCAGCAACAATGGCTTTCAAAAATTCTGTTTTGCTGGTTCTCGCCATCGTCTGTGCCAACGTCCTCGCTGCCCCTTTGGCCCTTCCAGAAGCTGCGACCGATGACACACTTGAGACTCTCTCAAGTGCAAGCACTGCCTACGTCCATGGCTCCTATGGCTACGACAAGCGTGCGAAGGAGACTACCGATGACACACTCGAAACTCTCTCAAGTGCAAGCACTGCTTACGTCCATGGCTCCTATGGCTACGACAAGCGTGCGAAGGAGACTACCGATGATACACTCGAAACTCTCTCAAGTGCAAGCACTGCCTACGTCCATGGCTCCTATGGCTACGACAAGCGTGCGAAGGAGACTACCGATGATACACTCGAAACTCTCTCAAGTGCAAGCACTGCTTACGTCCATGGCTCCTATGGCTACGACAAGCGTGCGAAGGAGACTACCGATGATACACTCGAAACTCTCTCAAGTGCAAGCACTGCTTACGTTCATGGTTCTTACGGCTACGACAAGCGTGACGAGTAGTTTTGCTGGACGTTGTGCGTGTCATGGTACTTCTCACTGCGATTGTGTTTGTGAATACATATTTGGCTCTATACTCGAGAGTGGGCAGACGGACTCGTTCGGAAGAATAAATCAGGAAGGTGGGACCTTGGAACGACGTTGGTATGACTGAGTGGACTATCAAACTGTTAGAGCTTATTTATCATGTGTCCGTAGAATCTGAAACACCATGTAGCTAGAATTAGTACTCCTTACAGAATGTGCCGAATTTGCTTAATTTCCTATTGTGCTTATTACAAGTAACCATGATGGCTTCGCCCGTAAAACAAACGAAGTAGTTAAGATAGCATGATTGAAGAGATAATAGATCATCATTTCGAGAGACTAGACCATTATTGCTTATACAAAAAAATTAATTCCAACGTTCTAATACTCTGAGATGAGGTCTACTCAGTACGTAAAGCAAGAGATGGTGGTTGATCGACTGCAGGGCCTATAATCTATGGACCAAGAATCAAGTTTAATCGATAGCAACTAATTGTCAGCTCGCTTCTGGTGAGGCTACAGATAGAGCAGACTCGGTAGGGTGGAGTTAAATGCTGGTGAGTTTTAGGAAGAAAATCGTGCGCTAAGATATGCAGAGCGGGAAGTGGCAAAATCACAAGCAGCTGCGCCTTTTACAGCGTAGATCCGGAGGATGTACCGGGGTAGATTTGATACTATGTGTACTTTCGTATAGAAGACGATTGTTAGTGGGTCTTTTACACAACAAGGCTGTTTTTCCAATCAACAGCTTTGAATTCTAGAATTTTCTCCATAGATTTCCTTAAGTGGTCAGGCAAAAGACAAAGCTAGACGAGACCCACTATCAGCTTCCTCGTGCGGCTAGACAGTAAGCAACTACGAAGCGAAATGCACGTACCACAAGATGGCAAACTACAAGAGGACTAACTAGGTTCTATTAGCGCCGGAAATGTATGTTTTCAGGGGGGTGGGGGCCAGCTGAAATGGCAATGTAACGCCTGGACCCATACCCAACGAAATAATCTCCAAAATCTGGTATCACTTAAATAATACTTTTATCAGAAATGAGAACTTAATACATTTTTGCTTTTCCGTGCCTATTATTGATATTCTAAAGGTTATATTTCAGAATTAGAATTACGCTATATATATGTAGACCGGGAAGTGGCACCCTCACTAGCAAGCACGCCTTTTTCGGCGTGGTCGCATAGGTACGCAGGATGTGATGGAGTGGGCTGCATACTTGTGAATTCTCAGGAAGCTTTATCGTGGGCCTCAAGGAGCCCATCTCCTTGTAGTTAGAGCAATTGGGTTATTGTCCGTCTGAGCATACTGTACTGTAGTCAGCATCTTCACCGGCTCTTTGTCCAGCGCGAGTGCTCGAATTGTTCCTCGATGTTCGGAAGCAGTGGAACCGAACCTACAATTTCTGACTTCTTTGGACTTTCTCATTTCATTCCATTTTTTTTTACACATCTCAGTTCGTTCTCCACTGGCACAATGTTTTACACTTTCCGTGGTTATAACAAACTCAACACTGATGAAGAGAAGGAACGCTCCATACGCAGCGTGACGGAAAGCACTTCACCTTGCGCGTACTGTGTAGGTCATGCCCATACTCAACCTCGAGCTTTGTTCATGCAATATCTTGGATGGTTCTTGCTACTTTCACTGTCTGTTTTTGTGGTCTTTTCAAACGGATACTTGAGATCTTCGAGCATCAAGCGGCTTATAACCCAAACGAGTTCATATTGTGAGTTTCATTCAATCTTACATTCATTATCTTCCACTGATAGCTCTGCAGCTCCTATACTGAAAGATTTGGATCCGGGACTTCAAGAATTCCGCTTCAATGGTTCTATTCGCTGGCCATCGCCATATCGAGGGCCTCCAACCAAAGAAATTGATGCTGCGTGGAATCGTATTTCAATTGTCCGGCCGCTGGATCTTGATATTTTGAAGGAGAACTTCCATACCATTGGCGTCAATCCAGATACAGCGGCAACAAATGCTCCAGAGCACGGTGGCGGGTACTTCATGGTACCGGAGTTCACACACCAGCTTCACTGCGTGGTGAGTATTGGATCGAAACCAAGAGATGGCTAGCCGATATACTGACCGCCGAACAGAATCTGCTTCGTAAAGCGTCATATTTTAAGTATGACTATTATAAAATCAATGACCCTGACTTCGGCGACAAGGAAGAAACATTCAAGGTTCATCTTGGTAAGCTTGAGTCATGCTGTCCATGATTGTATGGTACAGTTTTGCTGAAAGTTTTGATAGATCACTGCGTCGAAATGCTACGCCAATTTGTGATGTGTCATGCAGATGTCACCATCGTGACTGCTCACGTAAGTTCTTAAAAGAGCAGTTCAAGTGGGACTGGACACTGACGACTTCACAGTGGATCGAACAACGTAGCAGACCATGGCCTGATTTTAATACCAAGCATGTGTGTAGAGATTTCGAAAAGGTACTCGATTGGACAAACAGACATTCAAAGCCCGCAGGGACTCCGTTGATCCCTCTGAAGCCGGAGGGTGCCATGGCAATGAGTTCGCCGCCATAAGAGACCATTGATCATGGATATGATTGGAATTCAAAACTCTCCTTTCATTTGCGGTACACCATCACAACAAGAGGATTATCTTCGTCGAATTGCTGAAAGGGAAGCCTCTAAGCCCCATACCTGAGAGATTAAGGTTCAGTGTTACGTAATGACTCAGAAGTACTATGTAGAGAATCTACTGCCGATATATGTTTATGCTATAGAAAATATGCGGGAGATTGACGATAAGCCATGGCTTCTACAGGAGGATGGTGACCATTTACACGGGATGCAAAAAGCTAGACTTGAATAGGCATATAAATGCACTTATAACGTCAAAACCCTTTGGAATCTTGCTAATTTTCCTGTGGAAGGTATCTCCGGCATTTGGGCTATTATCAAGCAAATATTTATGAAAAAAAATTCAATTCGGAGGATGACATAGAGGGTGCTCTCCATGCAGAATGGTACAAAATTAGCATGCAGGAGATACAGTACCGCAGTTCCGATATACCTAGGAGATATGCTGAAGTTGTAACAACGAATAGAGGTCCTGTTCGAGGCAATAAGTGGTAGTTCAGATTTATAATGGAAATAAGTATAAGTATTTGATCTCTTGATTCTTATGCCGCTTATGGCCCGTTCGCATAGCATTCTGACACCCACTGTTGATTACCATCGGCCAGATTGGATCAGCATCATGACTGGTGCGGAGGCAAAGAGAGAGCGACGCCACTTCAGCATCCAGACCGTGGCTTTCAAAGACTATGGCTTAGGTAGTTACATGTAGTGCAAGCCAACGTAGAGGCATCACTGTCACAACGCCAATTCAAAATAGTGGTACAATTAAATGCCGTCCCCACCAATACTTGATACATAAACTAGCTATACGGAAGAGCGAGTGACAGTAGGTCTCGTGCAACCGCGTAAGGTAGCAATATGGTGTCTTTTTAGGACAAGCAGTGACAAAATTCAGCTTTCCAGTGTAGATTGCTAATTTCCAGTGCATATCGTACAATCACAAAATCCAGCTATTTAATTGGTCCAAATAGTTATTTCAATAATAATTTAATAAAAAGAAAATAATGACAAATTTTTTTTGGAAAATCTAATTTTTAAATTTTCAGATTTTCTATAAGATTAAAAAAATCTTTTTATTAAATTATTATTCAAATAATTCTATAAACCAATCAAATGCTTAGATTTTGTGATTATGCGATTATATAATTATACGATTGTACGATCTACGATATACACTAAAAAGTCAAATTTTGTTACTATTTGTCCCCCAAAGAAGTCATAAGCAAGGTTATTCTTACAATCAATATTCCGAAATTCAGGAAATTTCCCCATAAGCACGATAAGACAGATATTTCGGGCTATACGGAACCCACTGTCATGATAAGAACTGATACTTCTAAACGCTATGACACGACTGGCTATTACCTTAGCGAGCTTATGTATAAGGCAGGTGCAATCAATGTCGCACCAGTTAGTCAGCACTAGAAACACCTTCTTAAAAGGGTTACATTGCAGCATTGGAGAAATTCAAGACTTTTTACAATGTTATATTGTCACCACCGTTTCATTATATGAGACAAGCGTTGCAGACGAAGGATTCAACCGAATCTCTCTGAATTATAGAGTCTTTGAGACAAGTGCATATGATAGATTTTAGGTACATGTCGTAATATTCCACCTGTAGGTCGCATATTGCTAGTACGTATCAAGTATTACCGAGTCTGATTATTATAATTATAAAATATAATAGCTCTTTGAGTCAATAAATATTAAAATAATATTATCACGGGTCGCACTTAATCATAATGCGATCACTCATATACGCGTTTATATATATATGTAATCACATATACATAGCTAGTATATAAGAATACTCTATAAGTGCTCTACTCCCGATTCTATAGTTATAGATTCAAGGATAAATTTTATTATACTAATGTAGTTCTTCTAAGGCAAAGTGTTACAAATATACAATTATTCATGATATTAATTCTATAGAGTAGGGAATCTTTTTTTTAATCTTTATTTTTTGAAAAAAATTGTTTTTATTATTATAATTTTTCCCCCTTTAGATTTCATTAAATTTTTATTAGATTACTATATGATGATTTATTCGAATAGATCTATCAACCTATCGAATGACTAGTTTCAAGAGCGACTGTATCATCTGCATTAGAAAGTCACAATCTGCAGTAAAATGCTACAATATGCGACTGACTCCTACAATCTGCACAGAGAAGTCGAATTTTGTCGCTATTTGTCTCAAAAAGACGACATATGAGCCCTGGTCATCACGCCGCTAGCGATTCGTTCGTCCGACCCGCTGAACGCCACAGCCGACGTGTCGACATCGATTCAAAACATCTCAACCCCACACTCCAATATTCCTGCGCTATAGCGCACATGACTCCATAGCGCCTAGCACTCAAGATGCGGGACGGCTCACGATGTGTCTATTGTACGATACCTTCCAAAGACGGCCGCCATGAGAATTACATACTGCGATAAGCTCATTGGTGAAGAGACCTCGATTGATAAACACGTTACATCATGCACACGAATCCTGTCTCGAGTGACACATCGATACTGACTGCCGTCAGTTTCGCGAAGTAGATTTCCCAGCTTTCTTTCGGCAAGCCTGGTCCTGATTTTGACTTCCAATGTTTCAAAGCTTGTGTTGCAAACTTGCGCGCACATCGACACAGCCTAACTCCTGGCTGTATCTGTTCGCTGAAAATCTTCACCTTCACCTTCACCTTCACCACCATCATCATCATGTGTGCTCTAGCCTTCAAGCACACCAAATTCACTGTCTTTTTCACACTTGTTCTTCTTCTTATTATCTCACTCTTCGTCTTTTTCAGGGCTAGCCTTTCAAGCAGCCAAACGTACGGATCCTGGCTGTCGCCATCGCCATGCTCGTGCAAACAGCCCAGCGTGAGTGGCAACGATGATTTGACCAGAACACCTACCAGTGCCTATCTCCAAGCTTTCCGCATGAGACCCGAGCTCGAAGATATGACAGAGCTCGGGGATGCAATGTGGGCAACAATATCCTCGACTAAGAAAGGCGGCTTTCTTTGGGTACGACACAACGAGACTTACAATACTGGACACGGCGTGAGCATGTTTCACGCCTTACACTGCCTTTCTATGATTCGGGACGCTGTCAAAGGATCAAAGAGCGGGGCCATCGCTCACTCACATGGCTTCAAAAGAGGTATGCATATGAAAACGAGTGAGGAAGAGATGCATGTAGGGCATTGTCTCAGCTATGTTGCGCAATCGTTGCTGTGCTCGGCTGATGGTACGCTGGAGCATCCGAAAACTTATACAGATGATGCGGGCAACGTACTGAGGGACGATGTGGACGGAGAAGACATTGAACATCAGTGCAAGAGTGCGGGATACCTCATAGAGAAGATTGAGCAGACTGAGAAGCACCCACTGGACTCAGTACCGAGACTGAAGGGGGGGCAACGATGTGGGATCTTTTTGACGAGCTAAGGTAAATAGGCGTTGATAGTAAATAATGATGAAACGGATGTGTATGCAAAGCTACAGAAAGCTGTTTCTGAGACAGTTCCAACATGCATTTGTAGAAGTACATATAGTCATTTAAACACCATAACAGATTTTGAGGTCTTATTCCTCACCTTCAGTATGCTCCATCACAATCCACTCCTTCTTCGCATGGCACATGAATCAGCTCAAGCCCCTCCTTTGGCCTCCTAATGTATTGCATCAAATGTTCTACAGAGTTCTCTCTTGCCCATCCCACCACGTGATCCCAGTTCTGGCATGTATGTACCGTCTTGAAATTCGGCTTTGGCATTCGCTCCCCTTTGACCCAATTGTACGTCAAAATGCTGAGGTCTCCGCTACACATCAACGACTGGCGAATCTGCTCGATACAGTGCTCGCGATGCACCTGAACCTCCATTGACGTGTGGCCATAGAAGCCTCGATAATCGGGATACCGATCTGGGTAGAAGCTCTGACGAATAAGATTCTGGCACATAAGTGTGAGCTTGCTGACGGGCAAAAGTATCGCAGAGGGGATAAGTTTGGAGGAGCTCGCTTACCAGACAGTGCAGTTTGTGCACGACGTCAAAAGTCGCCACGTACTTGTCCTCAGGCTCGTAAGGTACGCGGACTCCTGTCTCCAGAGAGGGATTGACTTGTTGAAAGAGCTTTCCAGAGATGCTAAATGCGCCCATGTCGTCCTCGACGAGGTTTTTCCACGCCTGGTCTGTTTCGTTGCTGGGAGCTCCGGACCAGGCCGAGGAGAGTGTGAACGTCCGTTGCTGTCTCTGTAAAAGCTTTTCATTGGGCGCTAAACTGAAGTTAGTGGCTGGGACTTTGAATCTAAAACAGACATAAAGTGACCTACTTGGAGGGAGCATACAATCGGTAGCACGCAAAGCGTTTTTGGTCAATGCCCATGACATTAACACGGTGATCAATGAAACATTCAGAAGCAAGATGGCCACATTACACGCGAGGAAACACTGCGGCGACAATCGTGGCAGCAAACGAGCGTTCTTCGAGGCTGATAACTCTTCGCCATCGTCGAGGTTGCTCAAGGGCTGATATGAAGCCTTCGTCTCCTTATTCACAACCTCCATTGGTCAAAATCTGTCAGGCCACAATTCAGCCGAGGTCTGTATGGTGTGTCTGGAGAAGGATTGATACGTCGAGAAATACAAATTACGGAAGAAAGTTGTCAGTGGGTCTTGTCTAGCCTCATCTCCTGCCTTAGCATTTCAGGAAATTTATATGTAAGAAATCTAGAATTTTAGACTGTTAATTAGAAGAATAATCCAGGGTCCATTCGGATTGTCTTTTTGATTTGTTGTCAAAATAGGGTGGGTGCGTTGATTTAACCTTTTGTTGACACATGCCTATATCGGCTTAAAAAACGATCCGAACGCCCCCCTAACCCTGCTGTCTTACAGGGATGAACGAGACATACGGATAACCCACTTTGGTACAAAGAGGGCGTTTTCTGATAAGGTATGATCAAGGCGGGGTGGTAGGATTCAGGCGCTTACGAGCCACCGCCTCTAAATCCTCTGGGGTAGCTAAAAGCGTCCCGTCTTACATTTCGTTATCGCTTAGCTTGTCAGCAACGAATGGAGTGGAGCATTCAAGCTCTAACCGAATTAAGTGATATCCGATATCCGATATCACGATGATCTATTAATTGATACCTCTTTCAGAATAGAGGACTAAGAACCTCTTTTCACCTTTTGCTTTTATTAATATGCAATAGGTTATGCTTTAGGCCTTTGATTACTAAAGATATAAGACTTTATACGGTTTTTAGAGTCTTGATCATATTATTCTCATTAATCAGTTACAAATCACGTTGAATTTTAATTTTGAGTATATAAGAGGCTTTAAATTTAATTTAAATGCTATAGTTAAAGCCAAAATGATTTAACTCGGATGCGATTGAGACGGTTAAGTTAAATAATATGCTATCGTAACATTCTGACTACAGATTCGATATCAAGATAGTATTTGTCCTACAGAATTTGATGATATAAGCTACTGTAACCTTTGCTGTTGATACTCAGTAACTTTGCCTATATAGCACAAAGAATTCTCCGTACTAGGCGTGCTTTAAATACCTAAGTAGTTACTCTAAGTGGCTTAACTCAATATATATCTTCACTGCCTATCAAGACGCTTCGGACTAGAAAGCTTGTCCACTGGGGCCATGCTATCCCCCTAGTCTTGGCCTCGGGCACGAAGCCATCACAATCCCCCTCGCTGCTTGCTTTACTTCTCTGAGGACTGAGAACTGATAATTTTCCATCAAAGTCACCATGGCGTCGAAGCAACACGGCTTCTCTCAGCCAGAAAACTTCGAGGAAAAGTATCTCGATCATGATGCCGCTTCTGAAGACCACGACAGCTCTTCCGCTCTCCTATCATTAATCGAAGAAGACGGATGTAGTCTCGAACAAAGCCGTCAAAAGAGATGTCTTGTTTTCATTTCGGTCGGCCAGGCGGCGTTCTTCATATTTTCACTTTCCATGCTGATGTATTCATTGTATTTACAAAAGCCTCAAAATTGCACGCGAAAGATATCGTCGCCCTGTGAGTGCATCACTCCCTAATTCAAAAGCCGAACTTATTCGCAATAATGTCTGACCATCTAGCTCCTGCACTTGAAACGTTTACCGACGATGATTACGAATGGATCCGCTGGAACACTACGCTGAACACCTTTGGAGAGTTTACTGGCAACTACACGGAGGAGAAAGCCCAAGCATGGTTGGATATCACCGCAAGTAAGTTTTTCGAACTCCAGCTCAAGTACTTCGGGTCACTACTTCCACAGTGCATCGAAGTACTCATCGTTGTTTCATTCCTACTAATTTGAAGCCAGCTCCTGTAATCACTGTATCCGAGGCCGATATGATCAGCGCTGGTGCTTCCTTGGACTCCGTACGAGTGCCTGAATCTGCCGGAGGTGGCTACCTAGCTCAGCTCGAGGGGTTCCATGACCTACATTGCCTTCGCGTACTGTGGTATGATCACCACTCCGAGGAGATTCCGGAGACCAAGAAGTCCAAGCTAGAGAATTCACGACACTATGAAGCACATTACGAGCACTGCATCGACCTTCTACGGCAGAACCTGATGTGTCATTTTGAGTGAGGCAGCCTCCCTCCAATAATTGCTCCGAGCAGGATGTTGACTGACATATTTACAGTACAAGCTTTGCGACTTTCAATTGGCTCGTGGACATCGACGAACCATTTCCTTTCTTTGCAAACCCCAAGAAATGTCGCAAGATGGACAAGATACTGGAATGGACACATGAGCACAAGTTTCGTAAGCCACAGGGCTTTGTTTGGGAGGCTCCTGATGACGCTCATCTAGTCAGAGTAGTCGACCGTGTTGCGCAATGGGACGAGCCTCGAGTGGACAAGGATGGGAATGAGCTATGAAGATTTTGCAGTCTTTGGTTTGATGAGTCAGAGTATCCGATAGTCAGGACTGCAGTCCAATGATATAAGCGTTTGAATTTCTAAAAGCAATTAGAAACTTGAGAATAGTTCAATATTCTAATCAAATTCAATGTTCTGATTTGTTTAGGGATTTAATAATCCCTATTGTTGGATTTCAGTCCGGTTTATTGGACATCCTGGTTTGATCAATAAGTGGTATTGACCAAGTGCTTCGGCAACGCAAAACCATCGAACACAGAGAACCTCGTGCATGTCATTAAGTAGTCAGGGGCATATATTCGTATGTCCATGTACGTAGTAAAAGATTTAGACCGTGTCGATAGGCTCCATAGACGTGACTTGACTTCTTGTAATTCACATTCTTCCAATTCCCTTCCGTCTCCATCGAGTTCTGCCTGCTGAATTGCTACAAATTCATGATTGAGAAAAGAAACAATTATCTGGAAACCATCTGACTGTCACGGATCGCACTCAATCGCAATGCGATCGCTCACGTGTACATAGCTAGTATATAGGAGCGCTCTATAAGTGCTTTGCTCCCGATTCTGTAGTTATAGATTCTAAGGATAAATTATACCTTGCTTACGCAGTTCTTTTAAGGCAAAGTGTCACACTAACTACTATATATCATATATTTTTATAGTAAAATCCCTGCCAAAATCGTGTTTTCCTACACAAACTGAAAATGTATGTACCTTTTTTTTATTGAAATGATTGAAACGGTTTTATTATTTTATTATTCTTCTTGAAGAAAAAATTGATATTAAACACTACTATTAAAAAGTTCTGATTTGTAAATTCTTTCTTATAAAAACAAGCGAACTTTTTCCCTGAAACTCTAATAGTTTTATCTTTTAATGCCTTGTAACTTTTTAGAGAAAAATACAAAAAAATGAATTAGTTTAATTTGTAAATAAGTTGAGTAGATATTACTTGCTTTATTGTTCTTATTATAATTTAAAATAAGTTATAGTAATAAAAAAGGGTTTAAAAGCTGAAGATTTGATGATTTTAGCGGGAAAAACGTCACATGCGCGATAAGTAGAATCTAGGACTCTTACCTTCCACATTTCATACTTTTCGTCGGGATTCACATAATCACGTAAGCAGACATCGCTTATATATGCATGACTCATCAATAAGTCGTCCTCCCAGTATATAGATTCAGCTCATAGCCTTACTAGCTTCTTGATCCTTGGTCACAACATAACCAGAAGTTACGTCGTACCCTTCAGTGTGCTGCCGCCGAATTACTCGTGATCTTACAACTTGAGTTACTGATAATAATCAACAATTTTTGTCGCAAGATGTCTTCTCCAAATCCCAATCTTCGCACTAAAAATCTTACCCTTCGTCCCGCCGTCCCTTCCGATGCTGCCCCCCTCGCAGCCATATTTTCTAACCCCCTCAACAACCAACATGAGCCGCACACGCCAAGCAACCCAACGGTAGAAGAATACCAAGGCCGAATCCACAAATGGGATGACCTACGCGCTAGTGGGAAAGCCTACTTTCTAGTCATAACTCGACGCCCAACAACAGAGACGGGATTAGCTTCACCACCTGTGGATGGCGTTATCGGCTTCGGCGGCATCAACGCAGTCTCTACGGACGCTCAGGGTAAGCGAATTGCGGACCTGGGTGTTCTGATTGACAGCTCCGAGTGGAGAAAGGGTACGGGCGGGAAGCTTTGCAGGCCACGTTGGACTTTGCGTTCCGAACTGTGGAAGCGGAGGGTGTCGGATGTGAGGAGGCGTTTTTTGAGACATTGGCGGTGAATACACCGTTTCAAGGACTGGCTGACCAGATGGGGATGGCGAAGTGGAAGCGGGTAACGAGTGAGGGAAAGGAGCTTGAGTACAGGTTCAGCAAAGATGACTGGGAGGAAATGAAGAATGAAAGTGCGTGAGTCGGGCCACTGAGACGGAGACTTTGACGAAAGTTAAAATAAGTTACTCGCGGTTAATTCCACACATAAGCCTGCACAGAAATGCCTCTTCTTACAAGTTGCCGCAGCTTTGGAAATATTAGGCACATTAATTTGGATGCCTCGTGTCATCCGTAACAAGAAGTCCATACCATAAAGGATAATAGTGAGGCGGATACAATGCCGTAGTGAAGTGACCTCCAACTCAGAGCGCCAATGTGGTCTGTGCAAAACACCTTGATGAATGATTGATTGGATTTTATATTAGAAAACGAATGTGAATGTTTGATCAGATTTTAGGAATCCTGGGTGATATGATTGATCAATAAGACCCCTGTCAAGCGAAGGCGCCCTGAGTTGGTAGTCTCTTGGTTGGTCTCCTGGCTAGAAAGGCTCAGTCTTTGTGATGGTTCCAAGCAAGAGCAGTAAAGTTTGTATGAAAACACCGATACCCTTGACGACGTTATGAAATAGAATCAATATATGATACTCCTAGCTGTGAAGTTCTGAAAAGCCCATTCATCCGGCCAAGCTATCTTGATTTATATATTCCAGAATCTTTCGACTCGTATTGTATCTTATTTTCATTCCTTATGCTCTTTATTGTATACTCCAGCGCCCTCGCTTGTTCAACAAGCTCTATGTAATAAGCATCATCCTTATCCACATCTTTAGCGCAATACTCTACTTGTATAGCAAGGGGTTCGTAGTCACGTAGACGGTCAGAATCTCGCTCTCGACTCTCTCCCAGATTTTTCGGCGTGCATCGCGTCCTTCCTCCGTGTCGTTTGGATTGGGGGGTTGGAATCGTTGACGTTCCTCCTTGATTGTTTTGTAACCGTCTATTGCTCCCATGATGAGAATCAATGACATGAGAGTGAGGAATATGAAAAAGAACACGGTGTTGGCGGTATGCATCCATGAAGATGAGAATTCGGATACTGCGCATATATTTGCGTATTCAGACAGAGGAATAGAAGTCATTGTGGGAGATGACAATGATGGAGCGGTGATTGGTGATTGGATCGGTGTCATCATTTTGAAGCATGATTAGAGAAGTTGAGATCGATGGTGTTTCTTGTATTATCCTGTAGATTTATAGATAAATACTGAGCAGTGGGCCTTAAATGAAGTTGTTATCGGACATGCATGCAATTCTCAAAAGCATCTGCACCGAAGATAGATCGTGAGATATATACGTATATTTGTGCGAACGGTAGGCTGGTATGATATCAGAAGATCTTTGCAACCAAGTATTTTAAGCTCCAACTTCTAAACTCTGACCGGCTAAAATCTTCTCGACTAGTACAGACCTTATGATGCTTAGTATGCATGCCGATGTTATCAATTCGTGCAGATCAACGCGAGGAATTATGATTCATAAAACCCCCTCCATGATATTTTCTATTCTTGAATGAACTACCCCATCTGGGTCTGCAGTCTCAAAGTATCTAAAAGTCTAAATTGCAGTCCGACAAACAGAAGCTTTCCTTGCTGGAATCTGATTAAATTATTCCAATACTTCAAAGGATCGAATCCATCTTGAATATTGTATTACTTTCTAACGTTGAGAACCGCTGGATGTTGGACCACAGTGCGAGAAATTGAAATCCCAGCTGGGCTAAACAGGTGATATGATAATGGCGGACTAGAAAAGATGGGCGAAGGATAAAGGGCAAAAAGCAATTCTCTATGATAAATTTTCCTCTATATTCCACTATCTACATTCGAGGCAAAGACCTTGCATAATAAAAATTTCTCCTAGGCCCTTTCGCTACGTGTGGTTTGTCCGCCCTTTTTCGGTAATTCCTCAAAAAGAGCTCAGAAATTAGATTTATGACGGGTGAAGGGTAATAGACGCAACCAACTCCGAACTCCCTATCCCCAAGCCCCACCACCTAATAAACAAAACTACCTCTCCTTCTCCTGCCCCCATGTCCTCCTCCACTTCTACTTCCCCTTCTCTTCTCTACTCTTTTCTTACTCTTCGTTTCCGTTCCAAAAAGGTCGAGAAGAGTCTCGCCTAATCCACTCAATCTCTCAAAATCTCCCGCATCTCCGTCGTACTCATATCGCTCACTACTCCTAGTTCTTTCTCTTCGTCTCCGCGAATCATAACGTCTACCTCTACTCTCATGGCGATTCTGATCTCTAGATGAACTGCGGGAGGAACCGAGTAAGGAACGAAGGGCGAAGGCAATGGCCACCCACCAGAGGGCTTTCATTTTCGTGGTCTGATGTGTTCGGATTTGTGCTTTGGAAATTTGAAAGTCTGAGGAGATGTGAGAGTTCTTTTGTTGGTCCTATGATTGCCTCGAAAGTGGGAAGGCGCGACAGACTTGATTATCTATGCTTAAGGGTAACGTGCTGGCTGGCATAAGGTTTGATGCAATGCCGTGCTTTCCGGTAAAAGATGTATGTTTGACAGTTAAGAAAAAGATGTGATGTTGTGGTATTGGCAACAAGATGTAGGTTTGTAGATATTACAGAGTAGAAAGAAAGAAGTATAATCACAAGATTTAATACGCTTGGCCAGGAAAATGTCACTCAGTGTGAGTCAGAGTCGAGTCACTTTATGTTTGGGGAGTAATAGTGAATCTATCTATCACATCACCTCATTAAGATATATCCTTCTATTGAATTTAGAATGGAACAAATTAATACTCGGCTTGAATAACTATGCCATGATATCACAATACTGTAAGATCATAGTGACGGTTCTAAGGTGGAAATGTAGAAATAATAGAATCAATAGTTCTCTTTCAGAATTATGTATTATTTTGCCTACCGATACAATGCTTTTCATAAAAGTACAACACGATAAAGATTTCATGAATCGTCCCTTTTCCCTCTAAGAAATCTGGCTATGCCAGAAGTATAAACGCCCTACGTCTATAACCTGCCTTTCAGGGAGAAGATTGCTCTCAGAGCAATCTAAACCACAGAGAATTGATTTGTTGTACAAGATGACTCTTACAACAACAGGAAATGAATGGTGATACACAAAAGAAGAAATTATTTACCAGCCAATAGATATTCTTCGACGAGGAAGAAGTGCAAAAAATATAAGTTGTAGAACGCGAAAAAGTGCAAAATTCACACCAGACCAACCTTGCAGAGCATGTTGTTACAATGGTAATATAAAGCCTCAATCCCCCAAGAAAAATGCTAATTACTGGTATCTGACCTCGCGAGCTTCTGCGGCTGCGGGAGGCGGCTCCGGATGGCGAGGATCGTACTCTTCATAATAAGCAGGATCCGTATATCCAACGGGTGGGCGTGATTCGTAAAGAGGTTGCCTTGGGAGCGGCTCGCCCTCATATGCCGCATAAATTGTTTCATGTTCTCGGCGGGCAGGTCTATGTATGATATAAGGACCTTGAGAATCGTACTGAATATATTCATAAGCTTGTCGAGGTCGAGGCTCATCGGCGTAAACACGATAGTACTCCTGGCGTGGAGCCCTTTCATAGATGGTTTCTTCTTTTGGTGTCCGCATGCGATAGGTGGGCTCTTGGCGAGAGATATGGGGGTCTGGACTGTGTTCGGCATACTGTCCAGCTTGTGCGCCCGCCTTAACGTATACTGGTGACCTTGAACGTGCTCGGTCATTTTCTAATCTGACACTCTCATATCGAGCATATCTACTCGGAGTGCGATGAGCACCATGACTTCCCTGTCTCTCATCACGATAAATTACATTGCTCGGATATCTTCGATCAATAATTTCAGGAGATCGCTCTCGTGCAAAAGGTTGCCCAGAAACAGGATCCATATAATGATCGTTTGTAGCATAAGCTCGAATTGGTCGAGCTTGAGGAGGGCGCTCTTGTGTATAGTACCCATTATAAAACCCATGCTCACTGGGGACATGTGTGGGTCGACCGGACATGACTGGACCATCATTATATACTTCTCGAAAACGTTGATGTAGTTCTGATGACAAGGGGCGTCTCTGGCGCACAGTGTCAGCGCGTTCTGCTTCCCATTTCGGCTCGATGTGATCCTCTCTATGACGCATGGGTTGCTGAGCTCTTTGACTAATCGTATCGGAACGCTTTTCGGGCTGCAAGCTGCCAAGGAACCGGTCCGCTTCGCTGGCCGCTTCGTCTAAAGGTCGCTTATAATTGGTCTGCGCAATAGTATCTCTTTGCAACTCACCATCTTCGGACCCGGTCTCAGCAGGCCCTTCACGAATGGTAGTTTGTTTTCCGCGTGCTTGCTGTGCCTGTTGAGAGATCTGAGCTACGACATCGAAGATACGGGTTTGTTGAGATGTTGCATCCTCCAATGGCCTGTACTGGGTTTCCAACGAGTTTTTCGCAACACTCGAGATGTTGGGTGATGCTTGTTCCTGTCGATTTAATTTATGCGACTGGGAGTTTGCGGCTGGATACTCTCGAACGGGAGTAGCTAAATCATCGTAACTTTTAATGGTTCGTTCGTAGCGAGGTCTGTGATCTGCATTGTTTGATTCTCGGTATCTAATATTTCTATCCAAGTAGATTGGGGCTTCAATATCAGCGGTACGGCGACTATGACTTTCTTCGGGCCTAGCATAAGATACAAAAGGTGATGTAGACTTTGTGGGTCGGCGAACATTAACAATTTCATCGTGTATCGTTTGGCCGTCTTGTTCATGACGAGATGAAACGGCGGTCGATGCGGGGTTACGTGATGATTGTCGTTTTTGCGCATCTCGAGGGTGCCGTGGATCATACGAGTTATTATTGTAAGTAGCAGAGACCGATTCGGTATCTGGAGTTCGAGTATCTGCGGCAGTGGCATAATATTTTTCATGACTATCTTGCGAGGGCGCAAGGGGTACAATTATGTCCTGACTGACATATGGTACCTGCTGCCAAAGAGATGTTTCTTGATCTAGAGGCTCGGCTTTTGGCTGCCACGATGACGTTCGCTGAGACATCGTATCCTTTCTCGGTGATGGAGTCGCAGCAATCTCTGGGAGCGCTTCTAAAAAGATCTCAAGCTTTCGAGCTTCCATTCCTGGGGCAGTTGCAAGTGAAGAAATTTTCGCCTGATCGGGAAGCTCGACCATGTCTTTTGTCCAATCTGGAAAGTGGCCTATAAGGTTTGAAGGAACTCCTTCCTCGTGTATTGTGCGAAAGTGGATGGTAAGTTGCGGAAACGAAAAGTGTTTCCTATCGGGCTTTGAAGAGGGAACAGAACCTGCCATACCTAGTACACAAGCTCGGCACAAAAGTCCATTAATATTTCGGACAGGTCGCATGTCCTTATTATTGGACAATCCATCAACTATCATCGAGAGTGGTGGATCCTGCCCAAACTTGGAGCGAAATCTTTTTAATATGTGAAAGAGGATCGTGTGTGCCTTTACGCTACCGGGAACTTCTTTCACGCCAGTTATCGAGTCCCAAATAGTCCTAGCGTCGTGACCAAGCTGCCGAAGGTGGGCTTTATACTCCTCGGTCTTTTGTGGTAACGGAGAAGCCCGAGGTTGTGTTTGCTGCAGTGCGGACGTTGGCATCTGTGAGTAATTTCCATTGGTGTAGGCTGGTGGCTGATTGTACGAGGTAGGATGTTGGGCATGGTGGGAAACATAAGATGACTGTTGGACATTGGTATCCGGTATTGGGGTAGGATACATCTGGTTAGGGGCCAAAGGCGTATAACCTGACTGAGTTGGTGTAGAGTAGGGACCTCCATAACCAGACTGTGGATAGTTTTGAACAGGGTCGCTATATCCTGGAGTTATAGCAGACAATGGTTGTGCTGCATATTGGGAATAGCCTTGATTCGGATCCTGATACATTTGTTGCGGTGCATACGGTCCAGGTTGGGGGGCTACATGTTGGTCTCCATATTGGGAATGGCCATAATATGGATCCAGGTAAACATTGGGATTTGCCGCAGCTGAGGCAAGCTGCTGATATCCAGCATAACCACTGTGCGGCGGAATAGAGGGAGCAGAACCGGCGTAGGAAGCGGTGGCACTTGGCCCAGGAAAATTAGGGAAGACAGTTCTAACCCGGGCAATAGGATCTGGACAAAACGGT